CGGGCGGGTTCGGAAGAGCCCGCCACCGCGTCACGTGACGCGCGCGCGCGCCGAGGCCCCACCCCTCGGCGGTGCCTTAAAGGGGCCGCTCCCCTCTCCCCCCGCGGGAGCGCAGCTGCGGGAAGATCCTCTCGTAAAGGTCAAGCATAGCGCCCCACGGGGGGACAGGGCCACTCTTTTTCTTTTCTTGTATTTTTATTTTTTTTAAGATAAACACAAACCTGTGACTCCGCTCGTTCAGATGAAGCTGACCCAACAGCAAGGGTGCGTTCCGAGCAGTAGGTGCTCCTGTGCTTATGCCACTACCCGGGAAGGAGAGGCTGGAGGTGCAGCCAGGCCTGCAGCAGAGGTTGGACCCCCTGAGTGGATGCCCTTCCCCTCACGGCTTTTGTCCAAATTAAGTCTCAATCTAACAAATTTGAGCAAAGCTGTTTGTTTGCCTTGAAGCCTTGTTGAGCAAGAGCAGGAGCCTCTGATTCTCAGCATCTGCCAGTAGTTTTCCACCTGCTTTTAAAAATGAAGAAATTTGGGGGTAACCACGGGGGACAAGGCCAGCTGGCACTAAAAGGCCAGACCAGAGAGGCACTGGGCTGTGGGGAGAAGGATGTTTTGCCCTCTCAGACTTTTCAGGGGTAAGAAACAGTGGCTGCATTATTTCCCCTGCCTTTCCATAAAAATAAATTAGCTACAGAAAAGTTTCAGTTGAGTAGTGAAAGCTCTTCCAATATAGAAAAGCATCTGTTAATACAAGAAAAACGTTTTATATGTAGCGACTGCACTGATGGGATAGTGGTGGGGGGAGCCAGGAGCGGGGGGAGCCCAGGGACACCACTCTGGGTATAGGAAATGTTTCTGCCAGGATTTACCCCCCCCTAGTCACCCTTGGAAGCAAAACAGTGGGTGAGATGGACTGTTTGTGTGGCAAGCAAGGGGAACACTAAGTAGGAAAATTGGCATTTCACCAGTGCTTTTGATTTCTTCAGTTGACCACGATGGACAAGGAATTCCTCCTGCCCCCATCTTTACTGGTGCCTGCCGTTAGGACAAAACGTAGCAGCACCACATTATCACAGGCGCTGACAAGAAACTATTCTGATGCTAGACAAAGCATCATAATCAAAATAGCTGGGGGCCAGGCCTGTTAGAAATATCTGCAGAGTCTTTATGCTTTTCATTAAAATGTTTATTAAACCCATTTTAGTGCTGGCAAGCTCTCAGGAGTGTCACGCAAAGATAAAGGTTTTAAAGAGGTATCAGCCTAGCATTGAATATGTGAGAATGAGCTAGTGTACAAGTAAGCTGTTAAATATAACTAAATCTTCCATATCTAGCAGTTAATTTGAATTTACCTGCTCTATCTTCAGTGGCATATCTTGTATAAATATCTTATTTAGAAATTATTTTCCACTCTGAAGTCTTTTTCCCCCATAGCTCTTGGAAACATGCGGATACCAAACACGGTGTTAGCAGCTTCCATTGCTGCAGCTGAAGTAGCACTAGAGCTGTAAGGAGAGAAATCACGAGGTATTTTGCAGAGTTCTGGTTTGGAAACATTAAGTGATTTTAAGTGTGAAGCAACAATGCCTTTTAACAAACCCAGTTTGCAAATGGTGGATTCCTGGCCCTCAGAGAGCTGCAGCAAACAAGCTGATTCAGTACCAGAATTTCACTTCGGTTCCTGAGCCAGCAAACACCTCCCCTGGCACTAGACTGTCCTTTCATCTTTCTATAAATGGCAAAACTGATCACTCATTTTACTTCTGGACGTTCCTCACAGCATTGCTGTATGTTTACACAGATACGCTCTCCGCTAGTGTTTCTATCTTCTGCCCAGATTTTGGAATGTTTCCCGTGAAGACTAAGGCTGGGAACATGAAGCAGAGTATTACTAATACTGCACAATAATTTGCATCCTCATTATTTAACCTTTTGCCCATGAGCTAAAGATTTTAATATTTTAAGACAACAAAACAGAGATCACAAGAGGCTTTGCATTTATATATACAGAGATTAGTCTTTAAGTTCACAATATTGAAGAACCATAAAAGATGCCTTTCCCATACTAGAACTTGGATGCGGTTGACATTCTCTTGGAATTCACACTTATGCTGGGGGCACAAACGCTCATGGATGATCTCCAAATTTACAAGAACAAGTGCTTTAAATTAAATGCAATAAAACAATGTGCATTATTACTGATATTAATAAATTAAATCATTAAAGAAAGCCATAGTCAAAACAACATTCCAACTGTATTAGTATGAAAACACAAGGGTGAGCTTCTTTCACAGCTGGTATTATATTACCAAATATGAAATAAGAATCATCATCTATAGATTTTATTTTTTTCCTAGAAAAGTAAATTAATTCTTAAACATAATTAATTTCTTCTCCCTTACCTTTCCCCCACCCTTCAAAGTGGTACAGCCATAACTTGATCTCTAGTCTGAGCTTTGCTGCATGAATCAGAGTGGATTGTTGAAGGAAATAACAGTTCTCTAACATTATGCATCCAGCTTTATGACTGAGCCATGGTTACGATAAGCACCGTGTGTGAAAAGCTTTAGTAATGGCATTCTCATCAAAAGTTGACTTGAAAAATACTACAGCTTTTGTTAACGTGCTATCTCTGTGATGTTAACAGTAATACATCAAGACCTACAGATGACAGATGTTACAAACTTTAAGTCCTAATGCTCTGAGTTTAAATAAGAGTGTGAAGTACAAATATAAATTAAATATAAAACCAGAACTGCTTAATTTCTGCCTAATCCCCTTTTTCTACTGCAAATGCATGGCTTTGGGTTTGTTTCACCTGCTACTTGGAGTGAATATCCAGAGCCATATAATAAACCCCACTAAAAACTCACTTCGGTCTTCATAGTTACTGGATTCTTCAGCTTCTAACTGTGCTGAAAGAAAACTAAACCAGACAAATCAAACGCCCAGGCGGGACAACACTGATGGCATGCTGCTGCAGCACCCTCCGCTGGTTAATAACGCTCATACAACAACTTGAGGAAACAAAGTAATTTCAAGTCATTTGCAACTTAGGCACTCTTTTTCTAATTAAAAAAAAAAAAAAAATCTGTGAAAACCAGGCCACAGAAAGCTAACATTAGGAAATGCAAGGCAAAAAACCCACCCAACAAGTTCATGTTATGAAAAGTCCTCCCAAATAGCTAACAAAGTTATTTCAATGGCAGTAGGCAAATTTTCAGTCACAAGTTTAAATAGAGCCACCAATAATCACAACTTGAAGAAGGAAGAACAATAATACAAATGTTTAATGAACTCCCACCTTCCAAATAGAAGGAAAACTTGTAAAAAGACAAAAATATGTAAGTACTCAAACACATGAAAAGAGTTCTAAATTCAACATATTTTACAGATACAAAAATTTGCATCTGCCTACAGAATGGCCAGCTGAGAGACAGGAGGCACTTCTACACGATACACTCAGTCGGAGTTTAATCAGTTCCAAAGGTCAACCTACATAATATACAAAATATATACAAAAGCAATCTAGACTGCACCAACGATATTACCCATTCCTTCTACATGTAAATGGCTCAGTCTCCTTGCTAAAGTTCTAAACACATTACACACTCCGACAGGGTCCCAGAACCGCGGGGCAGGTGGTGCTGGACAGCCACTGAATCTCAGAACAAACTTGTGGCTGGAGAGGATCACAGAGGGAACCTGATGGCTCTGAGTCTGTTGCCAAGCACAGGGATCTTTAGTCTTCAAGTATTTCTGACTTTGGCGACCTGGTTAATTATTACAGGTTGTCTGGTTAATCGGAAGGAGGACTACAGTTTCTGTGTTTTGGGAAGGGTTCCAGGAAACTGCTAAAAATCAAACGCGATGTGATACGTGAAATGATACACAGTAGGGAAGTAATGATAGCGAAAGTAAATTCCAGTCATGTTAATTTAGAAAATATTCATTATTGCTTTATACAAGAGCTCTGTAAATCAACCCAGAACAAAACTAACATGCTATGTCAGAAGAATATCCATACTAGGAAGGACTACATATACAAGGAGGCCAAGACCACCAGTGACTGAAACAAGATAAAAGGCAGACTGGATTTATAAAAGACAAAATAAATTCTTCCTTCTCCTCTTTAGACACCTCTGGTTTTGTACAAACTTGTGGCCTACACCAAGCATCCTGGATGTCAGGCAAGTATTAGACACAGTTACTAAAGAGCTGTGCAGCTAACAGCACTCCCGTTCTGGTGAAAGGCAGCTCGAATTCTTACAAGACTAAAATCAAAGAGTGTCCAGTCCAACTTCTTCAGTCCTGCATGTGGATCTAGAGAATCATCTGGGATGCTGGAGCAAATTTTGATGAATCAAGCTGACTATTCTTCGCAGATAGTGGTAACCAACTGGTACACTGGAGAGAACAGCAGAAACTTCCTCCTCCCTAGGAAAGATAAATTATCACGTGTTTGAGAGGATAGGGAACATTTAATTCCCCATCCCCAGCTTTGAATCTTAACTCAAATTGAGTAGTTTTTTTCTGTTCAGCTCACCCAATATTCCCAATTTGGTTTTGGAGAGTAAAAGGCAGTGAAGCAGATGGGTAGTTGGCTGATAGTGACAGGGTCACCTCAAACTTTGCAAAAACTGCAGAAGCAGAGAACAAAAGCTTCACTCTGTATGTGAAATAAACACAAAGAGATCAATACAAAATATTCAAAAGTACTGCTACTGCCTTTGAATTAGGCAGTATTGTATTGTAACTGATGCAACAAGCTCAATAACTTCTAAAATGTTCCAGCATAGACTAACAGTAACATCATAAATAAGGTTAAAAGAACCTTTCCACTCCAATACTATCAGCACTCTAACACTGAATTAGAATACAACCCCCCGACTTCCCTCACAGAAAAATACACACATAATTTTAACAACACTCTCCGAAGGACTGATGCAAACTCCATCGGAAGTTACTCACTTTGTGTCACTAATAGCTGTCTTCAGAAGATTAAATTTTCCACCCCATCTCTCCAGGAATTCAATCTCCTCTCCTAAAATCCTGCAGTGACGCACCACCAAAGAGATGTCATGAAGAACCTAAGTGGGCAATCAGAAAAGCAATCACATTGGCACTCAGGCTGGTAAACTATGTGACACTTGAAAATGCAGTTTATCCTAGAAAACATAACCAAAAAACAAAAAGTAGTTTAACTGTTATCTCAGTTTGGATGTGAAAATAAAATTGTACAAGCATAACAACAAATATATAATCTTTGCCCTAAGTTTTTCCCTTCAGCTTTGTCAACAGGGCACACAGACATTCAAGAACACAAAGTTTGGCTTGGCAGTTTAAAGTCTTAATTCTTTAGGAAGCAGAATGGCATTCAGTTCAATTCTTTAATTTCTACTCGCAGAAAAGAAAAGGATTTTAGGAAATCCCCAAGACAGGCAGACATTAATGCAAGGAAGAAACCACAGCTTTTAAGACTCTTGCCTTCTGGGACAGGTACTTCACTTCACACCTCAGAATACCCATGAAGCAGATTTTGATTGGCATTGATGAAGCATTCATTAAGGTGCTTTTGTTCTCAGTATCAGCCCTATTCTCTATGACAGAAAAGATTTAATGTTTTTCCAGAGTCTTATAGGCGTTCCTGGAACGTTACCTGGGGCAAGTAGTACAGTGTGGGACACTTTTCCTGCCAGCATCCCTGACTTTCAATAAACTGGAAGATGAGTCTTTGGACTAAACATGAGGAGGGTGGAGCTTTTTCCTCTGTAATGCAAAAGAAAAACACGTTGCCAGAAATCTTTTAAAAGACGTATAGTAATGCATTAGCAGATAAACCACAAATTTACAGATGGCTTCTCAAGAGCAGACTATCAGGGCAGCTACTTTCAAGCTACTTGAAAAATCTTACCATCCAAGAGAGATTCAAAGTTCAGGCTAACTATCTTTCTGGAAGGATCTTTACCAAAAACATCACCATCTGAGAAGGAAAAGAAAAAAACCCAAACAATAGTTATTTCCATACTTAGTTCTGGAGTTACAGCTCTTGTCCTTCAGAACCAGCCATTCATCACATACTTCTCTGATTTTTCATAGAAAGCACTGACAAACATATTCAGAATCACCTCTTGGCTTACACACTCCTGCTGTAGTAGAAATTTTCTATTTCCTTTTAGCAGATCTTCACAAATGTAGAAACTTTAGGTTTCTATTATGTAACTATTTAGCCTTTCAAATTCATAAAACTGAAACCAACCAATTTCATGACTTACCTATTGGGGGTCCCAACACCACTGTGAGTTCAATAGAATCATAAAGAAAACTAAAGACTGCCTGCTGTTCACACCATTCAGTAATCTCCCACTCAGTGAAGCTAAAACAGGAGGGAAAAAACATCATCACTCTTAAGTTTCAATCAACCAAGCAACACAATTATCTGAGAGACAAAGATCAGACAATCAAGTGCACTTGAAGCTATTACCACATAGTATACCAATGAAATTTTCACTTTCCAACAGAACATAAGAATCTGCTGGGAATGCAAGCATACCACTATTCATTTTACATAAGTGTTCATTTTGGAACTGTACGAAAGTTGGATAGAAAGACTGAACGTAGAGTATCACTGCAATGTTGTTAATAAAAAAACAGTGCATCGCACAGAGCAGGTCACTGAGGCTTTCCTGCTTATCCCAGGCTGCGAGAAGATGGGCACCCAGAGATTTCCCAAATCAAATAACAAGGAAAACCAATCTCAAAGCCAGTTATATATGGATATGAGGCCCCAGAACTAGCTGATAAAAATAAAGCCTGAAGGTCTTGTCTTTACTCATATTTCTCCAAGTGTTCCTGGCAGCTTTTTTCTTCTTCCTTTAGCTGGTTCATCTGGACAAGCATTTGCTCATTCTGAGCCTCCACATCTGACAGTTTTCTGCAGAGACAAACCAACCACGTGAGGTGTAGCACACTGGTTAAAAAAACACCAACCCTCTAAAACCCTGATGGACACATTATTTACCATCTAGATCCTCTTTGGCATCTTACCTTTGAAGTGCCTCTCCTTGGCCTTTGAGGCTTTCCAATTCTAAGAGAAAGGGAAAAAAGTATGAGAGAAAAGAGCAGCAAAGAAATCCCTCACTTGCTGAGTAGTCACTGCTCTTAACAACATGAGAGGTCTCTACTTGATGGCTGTTACTCCTACCTGGATACAGATATGCAGTTAACAAAGGTTAGTAATTATTGAACGATTAAAGTGCTGAATACGATAGCCAGCACACACCTTTCAAGTCACACCGTACCAAGCTCTAAACTCAATTTTTCCAGGGAAAAAAATCAGTCATTTTCATCCTTGAACATATGTATATTAGCTATATCCAATAGGGAAAAGAAAGCAATAGTGTTTGCATCCATATCTGAGTTACCTATTAGGGTGGGGGTTGAGAATCACCCTCTCCATAATTTAAAAATCAAGCCAAGAACTGCCATGCAGCTGGTACCATTACCTTCCTCTAGGTTCTTCCCTTCTACGATTTCATCACTGAAGTCTTCTTCTGGTTCTTCCCAGTCAGAATCTATGGGAAAGAAATATCAGAACTCTGTCGAACTCTCAGATTCAATACGCAGGTTCCATTCTATTTGGTTGTGGGTTCTATAAATCTTAGTATTTCAAAGCTAAGTAAGAAAAGTGTACAAAACGCCAGAATGGTATCTACCAAAAACCTCACAAAGGAACAAATGACAAGGAAAACTCATTTTATCGCATTGTTTCAAAGCTGCTGCTGTGCAATTTGTGTTCTACTTAAGGCTTTGGAAGAAAACTCAGTGAGAAGGAAAGAAGTGCCCTTACACAGAGCATCCTTACGCAGCAGTGCCAAGGAGGGGCTGCAGCTTGTGTGAGCACAACTGAACATGTTTTGGTCTGTCCTAGAGTGCAAAGCCAAGCGGTGCCTGCCTGCAGGATCGCTGGCAGGTTTTGCTGCTAGCAGCCAGACCGTTACCGCTACCAGACTTCACCAGCTTGCTGACCTGCTCATAGGCTACAATTCTAGTTCTGTACCTCAGCACAGATATACTCCTAGTCTTCACACGAGGTGTAAGTGATTCCCACAACTTTGTAGACACAAATGAAGGCATTTGGGCCTAGCAAATACTTGTAACAAAGGAATTGTAAAATAACAAGCAACCACCAAACACAGAATCTTGAACAGATCATTTAAACAGCAGCTCTGCAGAAAAATAGAGAAATCAGCATATTGGCCACTGGTTTGGAAACACATACCTGCTTCCAGAGCAACAAGACAGCTCTCTGCCTCCTTCAGCAATTCATCCATCTCTTCCATTTGGGACTGTAGCTTTCTATGTTGCTCCTAAGATGAGAAAATTGTACTCAAGATAATGACATTTTTTAAAAAGCTGAATTGTCTTCTAGGACCACCACGTTGATCTTTGCTTGCTAAGAAACTAATTGAAGAAGCTGTCATTAGAACGAAGAGGCAGACTGACAAACACTAAGGCAGTAGCCATGTATAAGAAAGTACTAGATACTTAATGATGTATCATCCTCATGACTTTTCTTATGAAGGGATAAGACATGAAAATAAATAAATTCCTAGATCTTTTAACATAGACAAATTTCTGATACCTATCACAATGTGTTACTTCTGTATTTCCTTGTTACTTATTAATACTGACATTACTGCAGTACAAAAAGATAATATTTGATGGCATTTCCTTTAATACTCCCATTTTTCACTCTGTTTCTTTAATTGCCAAAACCCTTAGGCAGAAGGTTCCTACAGTGTAAGTGCAAGAAAGTCACTCTCCCAATGTGGTTTATATTTGTGTATAAATAAAAGGGAAGTACATTTAATGAGAAGAAAACTTTCAAGAGAATGCACACTTACACATAATAATTAGGCTCCTACACTTGACAGTCAAAGACAGACAAAATATGGTAGAAGTTCCCTTTTTTAAAGATAAACCTCTGCAGCCTTGTAGCACGTTACCTGTGCGCTTTGCAGCAATTTGCTGTACAGTATCGCTTTCTCATTGTGAGCCAAGATTTTACTCTCCTTGATGAAATAGGATTTCATTTTGTTCAACTCTGCTCCAAAGTTCTTCAGCTGCAATGAATGGAAAATACAGAAGAGAAAGCAAATGGGAACGTGCAACAAAAGATTGTTCAGTCGACCTGTTAGACTGTTCCTTCTCTGCTCCCCCCAGTATCCCATTTCTTTAGTAGCAGTATTACATTACACTTGCAAATTAAAACAAAATTAGGACTGGACAGTCCCTGTTAATTTAAGTACAGTGACCTACTAAAGTAGCTGATTTTTGTTGCAAAGATCCAACAAGATCTTTACTCAAACAGGGAGCAGCACAAATAGCCAAAGAGATGCTTTTACCAAAACCCAGAGCACCTTCATTAAGTAGATCAGATATGGCTCATCCCCGGGGTCTGGAGGTGTGTTTACAACACGTGCCCCGTTACAGTTTGGGAGGCCATCCGAAATGCTCACAGAAGCCCGAGCAGAACCCAAACCACAAGTCAACTTAAAACCTGTTTTAATGAACATAGCTACAGACCATGCTGTTGAATGTTTTTTCTGACAGCTGTCAATGCAGAAGCTGCAGAGGAATGTATGAAAAGCTTTTTCCTACCATGTTTGCCAGCTGCCTGTTTCCACTAGGTGGTATCATTCTAATCACAGTGTGTAGAGATTTGCTTAATAAGCTTTCAGATTCAGTATTCTTAGCTAAAATGAAAGCACCTAGAACCTTTAAGTATAACCCTACCCGAATCTAGTTAATAACCCAGCCTCAGTGATATCCTGTATGAATCTAAAGATGAATTATGAAAAATACTGTCTTTTATCAGTTTTGACCCTTTATTTTCATTGAATAGATCGTTATTCTTGGCATTAGAACTAGGAAAGCAGAGTCTCTCAATCTACCTTCTCAATTCTGCCTGGGATACTTTTATAACGCTTCTGTTTTTTTAATGTAGATGTCTTTAGCATGCTTTCTTGTGCCCATTATCATTAGGATTCTCCTTTAAATACCCTCTGGCCTCATCTTTTGATCTGGCTCCTGACACCAGTGTTGCACTCCAACTCCTGTATGCAGTTTTATTTTTGTGTAATGACACATTTTCTGTTCATTAGATGTCTTGCAACATCACCTCTTTCTGAACTAAATAAGTATGTAAGTTAGTGGACCAATGAAGCAGAGTCTCTAACAGTAAGAGTAGTTAATTTTTTCCTTCCAAAATCGCACTGTTTGCTTAGGCCCATCTGAAGTTTCTCTTCTCTTTTCTGCCCTCAACTAACCTGAATTATCAACTTGAATTATCAAGTTTTTCTGCTTTATAGAAACATATTCCCTTTAATACATTTTAAAGGGCACATATCCTTGCATTTGTCTGACATATCGCAAGTTCTCATAGCAGTTTTCTATTCAGAAAATATTTTGCCTTGTATCACCTACCTGCCTACTGTTATTCTGTGACCATTCTGGTTCTTGTTTTATTTGAATACGTAAATTAACCTTACTTCTTCATTATGTAAGAAACAACAGTATCTCTTCATACAGTATTACCTCTTCATCAGAGCAGGTTCTCATTACTTCCCACAGACTCTTATTCACATTCACCAAGAGTTGATCCTGGACATTTGCATAAGGTTTTAACCTGAAATGTTTAAAAATAGTTGAAATAATGTTGCAACTGCACCGGACACATAAAGCAGCACATTGGTGTTTATACAATTCATCCCCCTTTTCTAATTAAAACATGGAAACGTAAATATTTTCATTTAGTTGGGTCTCACATCTTGGAGAGACCATTGATGAAACAGGGGCCATGCTTGAGACACTCTAGCACATAACACAAAGTTCATTTCCTATAGTCTTTTTGTTGAGGGCAAGTCTGGACAGGAGGCAGACAGCTAGAGAGACAAAGAAACGGGAAGTGGTGCTAATCAGGCTAGGAAATCTTACTACTGATTTTGAATTTTATCATAAAACTTGATTTTGCACACAAATTGTAAAAGGCATAATGAATCAGACCAGAAGTGTCCTTCAGATCAGAAAATAAATGAGAACTCTATTTCAGTCCAATAAACACTGAGAGATTGGAACAAACAACAGATTGTAACCTGTTACAATGCCACTTTCTATGTTTGATCATTTTTGATACAATTTAAAAAGTTTTCCTCTAACTCTTCTGATGTGCAACTGCAACACTGTATTAGAGAAATCACTTGAGGAAAACCAAACTTTAATTATCTTCATAACAACAACTCCTCCGCAAGAGTTAGCCCCAAACCAATCTAAATCTTTTAACAGACTGTCTACCCGCGTAATGTAGGTTAACTATCATTTTTTATTTTTCCCATATGTAAGGTATTAACTTTCTTCAGGCCATTTTGCATGCAACCAGAGCTGAAAAAATAAAATTACTAATATATTCTGTGACTGAAAAAACACTTACTCCTCTATCATCTGAGAAAGGGCCTGACAATCTTCTTCATAAATACGCAGCTTGGGACGATAAACATATTGGTTGTACATGAGGTCTTCTGGAGTAAGTGGTGCACTGGCTGCACACTGGGGAAAACCGGAGGGAAAAATTGTGAAGAAAAAGAAAAAAAGATGCATATTTTTCAGAAACAGTAACTTCCAATCAATTCATGTACAGAAACCAGCCAAAGGTCTGCAAGCTTCCTGTTTTTAAATGATTGTTTTCATTCTGGACTTGTCCTATTGCATTCTGAGACAAGTTAGTCATATACTCTCAGACTGATCATTCCACTTTTATGCCCCATGTTTCCTCACTTTTGAGACATAGGCCTTCATGCTAGAGCTCAACAACAACAACAAAAATTGAAAGAAGTCAACTTCCTTTCAGATGAAAACTTGAAAAACATGCGTTATCCCAGTAACAAGAGTGCTCTAGAATAAACCAAGATGATGCTTGATTAAGAATCAAAGTTCCCAGTTTTCAACATGGCTTAGGCACATCAAATAAATATGATGGGGGTATTTCAGCAAGCTACCTGTATATTGAAGCACATAAATAATTGACATTAATTCTGCCCCTTTGGAGAAAGCTTTTAGAGGCTTTTGGCAAGGTGTGGTGGATGGGGTGGTGTTTGGTTTTTATCAGAGATCAGTCACTAGTGAATATTAGCAGAGTTTTGTGAGCCTGATGAATATTTAGAGACAGCTCAGTATAAATAAAATTACAAACTGAAAGTATAAACTAAACTGTAAGACAGTACAGCATTTTAAATAAAAATGGAAAAGATTTAAAAATCATAAAAGCAGCAATTTAACCAATACAAATTATATTAACTTAGTTGTGATTCTTTTTAATCAGTTTTCATTCTTGTCATAACAGTTCTAAAGAACTTTAAATCACATTTTTTACTTGCTCTTGGTAAGTTGACACAGAAATTTTATTCAGTCGGCAATGAAGAAATGCACAACTCCACACCACCACGTGTGTCCCCAAACATCAAAGCAGGTGTGTGTACTTTCTGCAGACTAACAAAACAAAGTTCACAGCTGCAGTCCTTATTGCCAAGAAATCTAAATTTCTAATGTGACTGTTCTACTGACACGTTTGCCCTGACACCATGACATCTTACAGCAGTAAGACTTGGTTATACAGGAGCCGCTTTTCAACTAAACCAAAGTACTAGAATGAATTTCACAAGTAAAGAATTTCCACAGCAACACCACTTTCCATGTGAAGAGTCTGATCTTTACCACACCTTTTCATACACAGCAACCACTTCACTCTTACACATTAAAAATTCCTACCAAAACAGGTGTCACGCCACCCATTGGAAAGATAGATCAAATCTCATTAGACCTTATTTAATACTGAGCAGACTACTAAAAAATTCTCCAGCACTCTAGAATAACTACTGGCATAGAGTAAACTCCCAAGCCAGTGTCAAAATTATGCAGACACTGCTAAGGTTTTCCACTTTCCGGGATGGCTTTTCCATTGTCCCAGTGCATCCTGTGCCAGTTGAAACTGCAGTAAGCAGAAGGAAATCGAAGCATTTGAACTAAATCCCCATATACTTTATTAAATAAAATATAAGCATTGCAATCTTACAAACAAACTTTCTATTTATGAAACTTGAAGCTTTTCCATGTCAGTATAACTCCTACATACAGAAAACTACGCAGCTCATTCACACTATTTGGGAAATCCAGGCAGATAACAGAGACTGGCCTCAGCACTCAGTTAGAAATCCAATTGGCTACACAGATGTGTACAGATAACCAACTCTAAAAGACTAGTCTTAAGAAAGCTTAGATATGAAAATAAGGTGCCTTTACGGAAAATAAATGACAAGGCCCCCTGTTCAGGATGATTGCAGATCATCCAGATTATTGCCTTGTTCAGCATCAAGTTGCTCCCAGTAGTGGTACTTGTCTGCAATCAAAAAAAAGGTGGTTCCCATGTCTGCAAGAACTCAGCAGAAACCTTTCAGGATGAGGATGCTGAAAATGGGTTCAGCAGGACAGACTGAAGGAGAATAAATAAGGACTAGTAATGCCATGGTGAAGCACTTATGAAGAGAGTAGAACAGGCAGTAAGAGGCTAAGTAGCTCTTTAGGATTCTGATTTCAGTGGCTGATGTACATAGTAAGAAGATAAAGTGAAAAGGTTAGACTGAGCTTCTAATTTTTACTTTCAAACTTATCATCCTTAAAACAAGTTTAAAAAGCAAGAATTACCATATTTATCCAAGAACAGGTACTCCTGAATATATGGTATTTCTTAAAGGGATTGAAATCTGTTTTTCAGTACTGAGACAAAACAAGCACCAGACTTATTGAGGTGAACAAAAAAGAGACAAGAGGAAGCATGTGGTGTCTAATGCACTTATCAAGGTGGAACTGACTTCTGGCTTGACTCATTGAAAGGTCTTTAATACAGACTGGTTAGTTGATAAAAATTGAAAAAGACAAATGAAGGTCAATTGTATTCCACATATCCAAGGACGGACACTCACAGTGGCTGGAAGATGGCTATGGCGGGGCTTCTGAATCGGAACATGGACTTGAAGAAGCGTAAAAAACTCCCCAACTGTGATAGTACCATTCTGAAATTTCTGTAATGATTAGGAAAAACGTAGAGATAAGTACATTTTTCAATTTCATATACGCTCACTTGCATATATGCACACAAGTATATTTCCTGTTCGGATGAGAAGTCAGCATCTTTCAGCTCTTTACTTACCTCCCGTAAATTATCTTCACAAATGCTGTCTGTGAGAAGCTGAGACTCCATCTGACTGCTTCGCTGAACTAGCCAAGGCAAAAAAAGGGGACAGATATTGCTGAGGTTAATAATATTCTTACGGAAATATGAACTTAAGCTCATTAGCTCTAGAAAAAAAGCAATTTTAACATAGAGTTTGACCCTGATGCGTGTTTCCAGTGCTGAATGAGGAAAAAACTACTTGAGGCAAAGAAGGAGGATTGGATTAAGAATCTAATGTAAAATAAAATCTGTGTAATGAAATGACAGAGTTCACTTTTCTATGGGAGGAAAGCCATATGTAACATACTAAAAAAGGAATAAAACTGAGCAAGAGACTCCAGCCAGTTTGCAGAGGGCATCCTATGGGAGACAGAGACGAGCTTTTAAGGTAAAAACATGGCATTCAAGTCCTGAGTCAGCATGGGCTGGTTTCTCACTCAAAAGAGCCTGGCTTCTACTGGATAAGGCTCATGCTCTCTCACAGCTGCAGGAGACCAAAATTGGAATTGGTTTTGTAAATATAGGCAGGATATCACTTATCATTTGATTGGCAGATTTCTGCCTCATTATTAGGTATCAGCTAATTAGCAAGAGCTAATTAAACCTGGGGGCTGAGTCTGCTTGGAGCCTGCCCCTGCAATACACACTGAGGAGTCTTTTTCCAAGAGTGCAGTGCTGAGACATTCAGACTCATTCTGCATGGAACCAGCTTAAAATCATCTCGGGGCCAGCAGAGTTTATGATGGGGCTTTGCTCTGTGCTAAGGTAACTAAACTGCCTCATCAGCCCAACCTGCCCTTGAAGATAAAGCTGTACTTAAATTCTGATCTTTTTTTTTTTTTTTTCCTATCTCAGTTTTCCTTGAGCAACTTGGACTCTTTGTCAGAACTTAAAAGCAGACTGGCTGAGCGGGAAGCTGCGACACAGCATTCAAGGCCTTTTCCAAATGAAATACATTCTGCAGGTGGGGGTCTTCCTTGATTAAGTGGGAACACAAGGTTTGAAACAATTACCACAGAGGAAGCCTTACTTGTTAGTTCTGTGTCAGCCTTAACAGAGTCCAGAGAGCTGCTGGTGCTGGCATGAGTACACTCAGGGCTTTTAGCTGAGAGATTTGGAGGATCTTCAGCTTCATGAACTTCTTCTTGGCTTTGAGACACAGCACCAAAAATAACCTAATATTAGCAAGTAAAAAAAAAAAAAAAAAAAAAAAAAATATAAATCCATCAGGAGTTTATGGTAGCTGTTTCTTCACATTCAGAATTGTTCCATGTTTAGGATCAGCACATTTTATATCTAATCAGTGTGCCAAACCAGCGTTTGTTCATTAAGCCATTGTCTACAATGACATATAGGAAGTAAAGCTGCAAAATCCTCCATTCATTTCTCAATCAAAGCAGCAGCCACCACAGCACACTTTTCCAGCTTTTGGAACTAAAAAGTTTCTATTGATGATTACAAGCTTATTTTTAAGGTCAGATGGATGAATGTTCCATATTTGCACAGATTTTCTTGATCAAATTGCAATTTGTGCTGCTATAAAAAAACAAATTTACACTAAACATCCATGTCTGGATCTTAAAATAATTGCTTTAGGCCATTGTACCTAAGCAACAGGTAGCAAATAGTTTAGTTCAGAGGACTAAGAGTATTTAGTCGAGAAAGGATTACAAGGGTACTATGGAGAGGATGACTGAAAACTGCATATCCCTTATTCTGTCTGTTTTGCAGAGTTCAGTTACACACATCAACCATATTCTTCTATTTTGGCAAAGCAATGAAAAATACAGGGGATGACAAAGTAAAATGACAGCAACCTGGTGGTGAAGAGCAACACCCATAGATCTGCTTGTGCCCCAGCATGTAAACAAAAGTCCTGTTAGTGTTCACTGTATCCTTATGATGAGTGATTTGGCTCACCTGCAAGTCTTGAGAGGCCTCGCCACCCAAGTTTCCATCCCTCTTGACCTTCTTTGGACTTTGAAGACCCTCTTCATCTTGTTCCAAAGCTCTTTTTGTGTTGCAAGTTCTTGTCTCTTCAAATGGATTCTTTTCAGTGTGGGAGACTTGTTTTTCGCTTATCTCATGGCAAGCATTTTCCATGAGTTCCGAGCTTACAGATTCATTTGAATCCATTTCTTCTAGGCAGACAGGAAGAAATTCTTCTGCTATAAACTGAGAAGGACTAAAGTTCTGCCTACTAGGCCTGTTCTTATCTGGGGTTTCACCAGCTTTTACAGTTACTTCTGAAACTGGTGCTTCTCCTTTGTCTGAAGACTTTGCATTTATGTCTTGTATACTAGAAACTGAAGGATTTCTTCTGTTTGGTAATTTAGGCTGGAATATACCTAGAGGGACATTTATTCCTAGATATTTATCCTTCAGTGCCATGCCTAAATTCACATCTATGGGAGCAGCTCCAGATTCAAGACATGTGTTCTCCTGCTCTTTGGTATAAAATAAATTATTTGGTTCATTTACAGTATCTTTTCCTAACGTGAAGCTATCCTCTGACTGAGTTGATGTTTTGGGCAATTCATCAGAAAAAGCAGTTTCAGAAACAGAGAGAACTGTAGATTTCCTTCTAATATTTTTCAGTTTTGAACAAACATTTAAAATACCTGATAATTCAGGTGCAAGAGTGGGACCTATGTGGTCTCTTGGACTGACCAAAGGTGGCTTAATTTGTTCAGAGTTTATATCAAAGTCTTTTGGAGGTGTCTCCCCTTCAGCTGACAGCCCTTCATTCTCCTTTGATTCCTTGTTAGAAACTGGAACAAGGCCTGCTCCAGCTAAGCCTAAATCTGTAGCTAAATCTTCATGTCTAGATGAATCATCCTTCAATACTTGGTTTCTCTGAGTACTACATGCATATGGAGAACCCTCCAAAGAATCTGACTGCTGGATGGGAAGTGAAACATGGGGTACCAAATCACCACTTTCTTCACTGCGACCCATAGGCTCATTACTTGGAAGCTTGAAAGATTCTCCCTTTGATTTGAGGTTTTCTGGAGGTATTAGATCCTGCTGACTGTTTACAGGGACAGAATTATCCGTGGGAAGGTCAAGATCCTGTAGTGCCCGCACATCCACAGTCTCTTCTGGAAGGGAGACAGAATAAACAGAATCTGGTGTTGTGCTACTGGGGACTTTGATAGCTCCTTGCTCAATAGGAGACTCTGAGGCTGACGAAGCAGAGGTAAGGCTGGGCTTATCCTCAGATTTTGCATGATATTCACCACTCAGGTCTTTTGTACATGAGGAATCTTCTTCATCTCTGCAAGAAGACAACAACACACTATGCAAGTCTGGTTGCTGAGTCCTTTTATGTGACAGTTCCTCGTTCTCAAAGCCATTAATATTGTTATTAAGAGCAATAGTATGGGATGCAGTTATTTCCATATCATCTTGGTTGTGCATAAACACAATGGTTTTATCAGCAGGAGCTGCAGAAATGGCTGGAATGGACTCTCCGGCCTGTACATTCATTTCCCCACTTAATACAGCTGTAGGAGTTGCAGTGATCTCCATCTCCTCAGCTGAAGTAAAAATGATGGTTTTGCTACCTGAAGCAGCCGGGTTTAATCCACCAGTCATTTCCATGTCAGCCTGGTAACTCGTAAACATAATGGTGGAATTTAAAGGAATGGATGGATTGGGTCGCCCTCCTTGCAGAGGATTTTCTTCCAAAGCTCCATTACGGGTTCTGGTGATGTCAATATCATCCACAGCAAACACTGTAGCTTCACTATTGGAAAGCACTTGCTGTCCAACTTCTTTACTCAAGTTTGGTTTATCATCACATACAATTTTGACGGTTATTTTATCAGCAGAGCAAGACTTGGTGATCTCCACGTCAGCCTGGCTACTTGTGAACGTAACAGTTTTAACAGGATGACATGGAGAACAAAGCCCATCCTCATTCTGTGAGACAACTTCATGGCCTATTGTAGCCGTATGGCTCTTTGTGATCTCCATGTCATTATTCTCATCACTCAGTGAGAATAAAACAGTCTTTTCCCCTGTTGTTTCCTTCAAGCTTTTCCTTCCAGTCCTCTTAGCCATGTTAAGCATCCCCTGAGATGCAACCTTTTCCATACATTTATCAATTATAACAGTATCAAGTCTACTTATTTCCATGTCATCATTGTAGGTAAAAACACAAGTTTTATCTCCAGAAATGAAGCATGTGTCATCATTTGAACTTTTATGCTGCAAAATTACTTTGTCTGCTGAGACTGTATGACTTCTGGTGATGTCCATATCAGCATCTTCTGAAAAGATAGTAGTTTGCTCATCTGCAAGAGGCAGACATTTTAAAGCACTTGTGGTGAACATTTTCTTGCCAGATGCCAAGGAGTACACACGGCAGAGAGACTGCTCCTGACTATTTCTTGTCATCATGACCCCTTTTAAGGGCATTATTTTATTTTCATCTTGAACAAGGTATCCAGGTATGGCTTTTCTTTCTGATGAAACAGCACTGATGTTGTAATTGGGAACCATTCCCGCACAGTTTCCAGTCAAGTCCATGTTCTCACCAGAGGGAAATACAACTGACTTTTCTGAAAACAAAGGCAATTGGGAACTTCCCTCAGGTGGTTCAGATGTCCTGGTGAGTAATGACTCTCCAGCACCCCTCACGTGCAGGCCATCGAGTGAGTGAGAACTTTTCAAATCTTCTTCTGAATAAACTGTTTTACCAATTGAAAAATGTCTCTCAGAATCTACTTGAATTGGCAATACTTTGGTTACTGCCTTCACAGTGTGGGTTTTCTCTTGCTTCTCTGAGTTCTGGCAGTCTGCATTTCTTCCTAATACTGTTCCAAGTTGTTCGTTTCCTTTTATTCCAGAGGGAGCAGGCTCATTACCGGAAATAAATGAACTATTTGGAGCCAAAGGTGTAGCAGCTTGCTTATTTGTGTTCAAGTCCTCACATTTTATTGCTGCAGTCTGACTTGCGATATCTACAGCAGAACTACCAGAAAACTGAAAGGTCTGGTTTTGCAGCTGCTTGGATATTGTATTATTTTCATTATGATTATTCTCATATTCCTGTATTGTATTAACAGGAGCAACATCAAAAGCAGTAGCATGAATTTTGGTTATATCCATGTTTTCATCATCTGAAAACATGTCCTCTTTGTCATTTGTGCAAACTGCAGCATCTGGAAGCATTTTTCCCAAAGGCTGAGACATACCAACTTTTTGATTTTGCAAAGAGATGAATGCACAGGTGTCGGTGACAGTATTTTCAGGGACTTCTCTCTTTTGCTCCTGTAGTGAACACACACTCTTTGCACAGGAACTTGGACTGCTTGCTTGGAAGTTTGTTTTTCCAAGGTTCTTATCAACCATTCTCACTTCAACATCTTCAGTATTAATTTCTATTGTCTGGTTTCTTTTAATATTCCCATTGATAGTGATCACATCCAGATTTTCCTTGTCCATATCTAAAGAATTTGCACCTTCACTGACATTTTTGTTCTGGTTCTTTCTCTGAATTATTTTACAATGCATTTGTTTTGCTTCTGCAGTTATCCCATCGCTTTGATCATCAGTGACAACAGCATGGCATTTAGTTATTTCCATTTCTGCCTGTTCATTCCAGCTGGGAGGTGTAGATCTGTTATCAAGAAGGTGAGGTTTGCAGGGGGCAGAGGTGAACACTCCAGCAGGAGATTCATTTTCAATGTTCTTTCCATCACCCCTGACAACACAGGTTTTAGTCAAGTTCGTATCTTCTCCAGAGAATATTACCATCCTCTCACCTGGCAGAGAAACAAGTTGAGAGTTGGCTGGTCTGTGCTGAAGTCTACTCATGGAAACACCAGCAGCCCCTGAATTTGTACATGAATCAAACCCAACGTTCACTGAAGTAGTCTCAGGATCTTGGGTCACCTTTTCCATTTGTTCATCTGAGCCCAAAGATAGTTCAAGTGCATTATTTTTATACGACACAGCTTGATTATCTGAAGCTGTTAGACTCTTTGTAACATCCCTACCACCATGTGTCAGATGTCTGTTTTCTGCTAGCAAAGAGTTTGTATTTACTGGCTTTTCAAAAGTTTTATGACATGAACTGTTCATTTCTTTGGTACTGTCATTATAGATTACATGTGTATAATTGTCAGTAATTTCCATGTCATCACATTTAGAAAAAACAACAGTTTTATCACCTCGGAAGACAGTCTCGGAAGAAATGGACCCTGGGATGGCAGACATGGTTCTGGTCTCTTGCTTAACAGTCCGCGGCACTGGAGGTTCTTGTCTGTCTTCAACATTTACTAGCTTTTTGTCTGTACAAAGTTGAGGGTCATGCTGAACAATTAAGTGCTGGTTAGATGCTCTCTTTACCACAGAATTGTCTAACTCTGTGGATGGTAAATCCTTTCTGAAGTTCAGACTTTGATTTCTGACATCAGAGAAGGGAAAAGACATTTTTACAGTGTGACTGGTTGTCATATCCATTCCATCATCTACAAATGCCTCAGTAACATCTGCATGCAGGAATTGCTCTGGTGGAGCTTCACAAATACCAGAAAACATAGCTTTGACATCAGACGTCTGGCATTTTGTCATTTCCATCCCATCCTCTTGCCCTCTAAAGACTTTTGTTACATTGCAGGTGTCCGCTGGTTCATGAGAATATACAAATTCCATTGACGACTGTGCCATGTCTTCTGAGACTTGTGAAGGGCCAAAGAAAACATTCTCTTTTTCAGGTCCCTCAACAGGATTAAGTGCCTTTTCGTTTGACTTCAGGCTCATCAAAAATTCATTGAAATCTATTTTTTTTACAGTCATAGCATCTTTCTTCTGTTCAAAAGATGGGCACGTATGGTTTGTAGGGTCAGGGAAAAAATGAAATTCTTTGCTCATTTCTGCCTTTCCATTGTTAGAGTTTAACTCAGCCAGAAACGATGTGATATCTATTTTCTCAGTTTTGTCAGCTTGATTGTTTTTCAGGTTACGTGTAATCACTGCAGTGTGACTAGCTGTCATATCCATTTCATTTTCATCTGAAAAGATGAGGGTGGTGTCATGCCTATTTGTTCTTTGAATGGTGTTGTCTGCATCAGGCCACTTAAAAAAAGAGGATGAAATTACAGTTACTGACACTTAAAACAAATAATACAATGGTTTATTCTATTTAAAAGAAAAGTCAACTAATGCAGTCCTAAGGTTATAGCTCTATCTTTCTTTTGGGAAAAAAAAAAAAAAGTATTGATTTCAGTCCTCCTTGATGAGCAGTAACACAATCAGGGAAAGGACGATGACTTGATTATTAGAGCAAATCATATTTAAATGGCTTTTATGGAAAGAGTGTGTCTCAGTTTTTCTGTTCGGTAAAGACATTTCTTGGTAAGCATGGCACAATTAATGAGTCTTCTGGTGCAGTATTTTCTATATCTCTGCAGTGTGGTTTCTGCCTTTTTTCACCCCTCAACTGCAGGTAAAAACCTTGCCCAGCTTATCATGCTTGTGCCTCAAAGCAGCAGCACCAAGTTGGATGTTTTAAAAGACTTTTCCACCACTGACTAGGGAGATTTTAGTCTCCTTAATAGAGAGGATTTACAGTTTTAAATCTGGGGGAAAAAACTGGCCAGTAACAAGACATAATACTGTATTTTATCAAATATAATTACTATATTGATAAAGAACAGCTTCATGTTTACTTCAAATTACATATGCTATTTTATAAATGCAAGAAATAAAATATACTAGAAGCCCAACCATATACATTGCCTGAGAGAAGGAGAGACAAGAGTTTCAATCTGACCTTTATAGCTTCTTGGTGTAGACCTTCTCATCCAAACTAGGTTTTAACAAGTTTTGGTTTGGTTGGGTTTTTTTAACAAATAGAGATAACAACAGGTTTTAAGCCATATCCTTAAACTCAACATAAAAGTCAGAAGCTGCTGCAGTAAGGGAGCTTGTTTTGACAATCGCTGTGTTTAACAACACAGCACCACACCATCATCACTGGAGTGTAACACAGGATTTCTGTGCAGTTGTGCCTGTGAAGGTCTTAGCTAAGAATTTTGTGTTTTATCACTTGCTTCACCTGAAGAAATTCAGTTACCTTTTCATGCTAATCCTTGCAATTTGTCTAAAGATTTTTAACATCAGGAGCAGAGAGTACATTTGTGCATATCCATTCTACCCACAGAAGGAAAAATACACAAGGAGGAACATGAGAAAACCGCTTAACCAGACCTATCTGAAACATACGCTTCTTTGCATATTCTCAGCTAAGAATTGAAAAGAATGGAGGAACTAGCTCAGGTATTGAAAAATTAGCAAGCAATTTTAGAAGCAAGAGGTATCAATACTGCAGTATATTGGCTAAGAGACTAGAAAAATACTTCAAAATATAGAAGATTAGCTTTTGGAAGAATTTTATGTGAATATAAGGATTTATTTTTTAGGCAGTTGAGTTACATTTTTCACCTTTACTACATAACTTATTGAAATATATTTTGGACACTGATATTTTCAGCACCAAAAAAATAAAAGCCTTCGTATACCTCGGTCTGCTGCACCAGTGCCTGGATAGGGGCATGAAGCAAAGTGTTCATCCCTGTCAAAAGAAAAGGAAATACTCCATTTGTTGCACCATGTTATTATTATTTTATCCACTGAGCTGGAGACCTAGACGCTCCTTTTACAAATACCACTGAGTACGTAAGTACAATTAAACCCAAATATATCCTGAACAATATTTTCAGTACTTGCTTCAGCGTGGGGAGAGCCACCCATACTTCTACAGTACAACGCCTGTGAACAGCTGCATGGGACAAAACCCATTCATGCAATCGTCATCTTGGCCAGGGAGGTTGTTCTAGGCACGTTAAAATTATTCAAACAGAATTATTAATTTTTTATATCTAATAAATCTATTTCCAAACTCACCAGTGATCTCACACGGAACAGCTTCAGGTTCTTCATTTCTACAAAAGGTGGGTTAGGTAAACAGTTTGTTAAAAGATTTCAAAATAGAAAACTTCAGCAATATGCTGCAAAGGCAGAGAACTCTGTTACATAGCTCACACAGGACCGGGCAGCAGATACCAAATGCTATTTATATGTCTTTGATATGATCTAATCTGAGCTGCAATCTTATTTCCCTATGAGTTTCTCTCATCTTAGCATGCCACAAGCCATTGTTCAACGCACAGGTGGCATTTTAATTCCTCAGTGCCAAGTAAAGAGAAAAGATTATTTTTAACACAGATCTTCCACTTTTAGTTATTCCCTTCTCTTCGGGAAGCTGAAGGTCTGTTTCTAAAGCCTGAAATCATTTCTCTGTAAAACAAAAAGCCAGATACAATGTCCAACTTGCACGGTTTTCCGTCTAACATGTAATGCCTTCTGCTCTCCATTGTTTTATTGGTTGCTCTTTCAAGACTGAGGAACCTTAGCTAGACTACTGACTTTTATATATATAGCTATCTATATCTATCTGTCCATCTATATGTGCACAAACACAATGTTACTATATTGGGTTGGTACCTTTAAAAACATGAGTTAACTACAGCTGTACACATGCTGTTTCCTTGCTATGTATTTTAAACATAAGAAATTCTCCTCCACATAGAAAGTGTCTAAATCTGTTATTTTACTTACCAGGTAATTTTAAAAATCCCATTATTGTGTTTTATCTAGACAAGAACTTTGAGGCCAGACTAACACTTTGTCTGCCTCCAGGGAAAAAGTTATGGTAATAATCAAAGACTATGTCAATCCAATATGGAAACTGGTAGCTCTTTCCTGGAAAACATTCCCAAAGAATCAGCTTTGGAGGGAAGCAGCTTCAAGCCATAATTGTTCAATTTTTCAGCAACTGCTGTCTTTTGTGAGTGACCAACACGGTTATATGCTTGTTTTGCTGTATCCTTTCTTTCACCAATCAAAAGCACCGAGCAACTTTATATCTAAATAAATACACATGCTGGATTTTTTTGAGGAGTAATATTTTCATGGTTGCATGTCAGTGAAGGAATGTATTTGGAGGGCAGAACTCTATAGTCACAGGAATTTTTTTTCAAACTTACTGATTAAGCAGGACATCATTCCTCGTATCTGCTGCACACTCTAAAAATATCAAGGAAATTAGATATTACAATGTGAGAAACATGATCAAGCCATTCAGAGACAAGAGTAAACTGCACAGAGAAGAAGGTTCTGAAGTTCTCACTCTTGATGTGCCCCCTCATGACAATAACCCAGTGAAGTGAGGTACTTGAGAATGCATTAGCTTTCTAGATTCTTCCTAGGTAATCTTTGACAGAGTGAATGTGACATTCTGCTCAGCCTTCTTTTGATCTAAATCCCCAAGGCAGACTTTGTTCTAGGTGCATTTTGTCTAAAAAAATAATTCCTTTTCTGAGCTACAAGGTCCACAATACAAGTAACTAATGGGTTTCAGCCAGTCCATGATAAACACCTGACCATACTGTTGCCTACCTGCTACTGACAGGCCTAACTTCTTAAATTCAGGCTAAAATCTTGTTGCTAATATTCTGCAAAACCTATCAAGAGAAGAGAAAGGAGTTTTACCTGTATTTTCTCTTTCTGCCGTGTTATTCTTAAGATCTCGCTGGAAGACTCGGCAGCTGAGAAACAAAAAACACAAAACAACTCAGTTTTTGAAAAACACAAGACCATCTATTTAGAAGCAAAGGAAAAAAAAATATGCCCTGATTTCAGTCTTTCCCACATTGGGTATGTTCTGAAATGAGATATCAAAAGCCAGAAGTTTACTGAACCCAACCATATTTTCCAGTGGGAAGATGCCATTATCATACTTAAGATGTAAATCACTAAAAAATGTAATGGGAAACAAAAAATCCTAATTACATTAAACTTGTTGAACTGTTTTTTTCTAGCTAGGAAAAGAAAATAAATAATGGCTCTCTTAGGGCTCCAAATCAACTCAATATAACAACTGTCACCAGTTTGTCTTCACGCAATACTCACAAATGTATGCCCAGAGCAATTTTAAGGGATACCAGATTACTACCTATAGCCTGTATTTTAGGGGGCACCAGATTATTACCTACAGCATCCATTTTATACTTAAATAAAGGATGCAGACCTGCATCCTTCAGATCAAACTTACTTTATGGTGTTCGCAAAGCTGACACGGCGAGAGTTTTTCTTACGTTTTTCTGTATTGAGATCCTGACAATAAAGAACACAGCACTTTGATACACAGAGAACTGTTCTTATCCCACAAGCCACAGTAAGCATAGCTTTTTGTGAAACACAAAACCAAACAAAAATTCCACACCCCCTCAAAATAATAATCTATGAGCCCAACAAGAGCTATTTACCAACATCCTTAAACTACTTTATAATTCTCCGACTTCTGACATAAAGACACCCATCTCATAGGAATAGGATCTAAAGATCAATTATGAGAGCTGCCTGGTTTCAAACGCAAGCAGCAGAATACCAGTTGTAAGGATTTTTGTCTGGCATATTGTGTGGCTGGCATATTGCCTGGCATACGAGGGAAAATATATGTAGCTGCTTAGCAAGAGAGTTGCAGGATTTTATTTTTCCCTTTAGTTGTTTGTTACAATAGCTGAAAAAAAAATAATACTGGTTTGTCTTTATGGGAGAAAGGATTCATGAAGGACTTGAAGTCACCATTTTCCTACTGAAACATTTAAATGGAGTCACCGACTACATGATCACACTAATGCAATGTTACAAGGCACATAACGATGCACTATTATTAGATAGACTGGAGAGCTAATTCATCATACCACTGCTGTGCAGTTGTTTGCAATAAGCTTCCCTGACTAAATAGCTCTCAGGACAATGGAACAGTCATTAAGTTTAAGAAAACACAAAGTATTAATGCATGAGGCACTACTCATTATATGCACATGACTAACAAAGCCTATAAAACAACTTTTTTTTCTTTTTTAAATCATGTCAGTAACACAGGCAGTTATGAATGATGTCACACATGATATGTCTTATACTGCTCGTTAGCAGCACTGTCCATCGTTGTTAACAGGTATCACAGTTTAAATGAAGGCTGTGAGCTGCTCTTCATAGTCAACCCAGTTTTGAAATAGATGTGTTGTGCATAAATATTTCAGGCTCATATTTGATATTATAAAGAGATTATTGAGTCTTTTTCACTGAAAGCCTTATATGCTAAAAATGAGTTTGCAAGTTCTGTAATCAGCAACAGATAAATCACATTATATATATATATATATATATATATATATATGATGCAACTAGATTAGTTCATAAAACGCATCCTAGGTAGAAGTGGCATTTGAAAAGAAATCAAAACTGAACAGGCCAATAGTTATAATTTCTAAGAAATAACAGACACTATAAACATGAAATATATTCCGTACGGATTTCTGGAAGAAAATGTTTGGGTTTTAGCTTTTCCTTTCAGTTGGCAGGCTGTTTTTTTTTCAGATGTAAAACCATCTTACTGACTGTACCAGTTTGTATGCTGGTGGATCAAACTTCAAGTCAAATGGACTACAGCTGGAGCAAGTTACGCCTATTAATCTCTGTTTATTCTTCTTTTCTTGATAGGAGAAATATTCTGATGTAAAGCAGAAGAAAAACTCGATGGATTTCTTATAATATTTTGTACTCCAGGCAGTTACTACAAGAATCTTACACCTGCATTATTCTAGAGACACAGTTTAATCAGCAACAAGTTGAGGAGCAAACCAATGATGTTAATATCATTGGCAAGAAAGGACTTAAGACACCTACCTGCGTCAATTCATTCCCATTTGCCAGATCATCAAGAGGATTTCGTGGAGCCTTTAAAATCTGAAAGAAAATATAACAGTTGAGAGAATCAGCTCCAACTACAAGAAGTGATACTTGGCTGGAGAGAGTTTATAAGAGCCTCCAGTGCCCCACTCAATCACATCAATCTAATAGGCTCCTTCTTTGCTTTTGGAATGCGTTTCTTCAACTGTGATGAGAAAACGAGTTCCTCTTTAGAGCTGCCCTTTCTTGCCTTCACTCACTCACATGGTTTTCTTTTGAGAAATGTCTTAAGTTACTCACAGAGGACAGTCGCTTCCCTCTGATGTGCTCTGTATTATCACTGGAGGGAAAAAAAAAGGGAAACAGGTATTAGGGCATAAACCTGAACCAAGATGTATTTCTTGAATAGTACTGCCAAGTTTTTAAGGTTAATAAATTGATTTCTCAATTATTTTTATAAGAGCGAAATTAAATAAACAAGCTTGCTTGGCATAGATCATTCATTCCAGCCCTAGTTCCCAAAAATAAGCTTTGGAAAATTCAGCAGACTGCCCTCCCAACCCCACGGTCAGTCAGTCTCTGGACAGCCTGCTGCTGTGAAACTTCCTCAGAGCTTTACTATACACAGTTCAAGAAACTACCTGTTCTTCTTCCTCACAAGGGAAAACACTTTTCATTCAAGAGATGCTGCAGGGATTAAGAAAAGTTTTGTCTCTGAATTATATTTATACCACAATAAAATTCTTAGGTTTCAACTTACATTTCCATGTTAGGGTCTGAATATATCTTGTCCATTTCTGAAGAATGTGCTTCTCCTATAAAACACAGTACTGAAATCCAAATATATTAATGAAACTCCTAAGAATATTGCATACAACCACAACTAGATGCTAGCCTCACATACTCTAATTTTTCTCTCCATCTTTCTCTAGTCACAGGAACACACTGAAGATTAATAGGCCTCTCAAGTCCACATTTTCTATTACATACTATATTATAAAACAACTGAGCTAACAATTTGAGTCTTACTGGTTAGGTGTCCTTTTATTTAAAGCAAAGATACTGGCAAGTGTTGGAGATAAATGACCTTTTATAATATGAAGTTTGCTAGTTTTCTCTGACACACAAGACAATTTTTCAATCACTAATTCTCCCCCTACCCCAAGAACATCTTATTTCAATGCAGATAACTCCCACTAGCACAGAAAACTACACCACTTATCAAAAGTTGTGTATGGGGATAAAGCAAATTAACCCACAATGACAGAATGCCAGTGCTAACACAGACTTAATATTGCCTGACATTTCTTGGAAACCACAACAAAATTCAGAGCTTTGAATACCAGGTTAATACTCCTCTTGACTTCAGTCTCCCATGGACCTGGCAAAGACTACCCAAAAAATGTACCACAGAATTAACACTGTAAGATCAATACATGAAGTTTTCTAGATTTCAGTGATGTTCTTTATCTACATGCATCCCTCCTTCAAGAACTATACAAATTACTTATCACATTACTTTATTCCCCCCTTGCTAAACCTCAGCAAGCAATGTTGCAAGAGAACCCCTTGCCTAAGCAAGGATTAATTGATTTGTAAAACTGACTGAAGTTTTACAATTAGAAATAGAGAGGTCTGTGCAGAAGTGCTCAGCTTTTGCATTTCACAGAGTCACAGGCTCTCTCAGGCCTGCAGGTCGTTCAGGACACTATCCATTCCAGGTCTGAGTGCTTCAGAGAGAAAACCCTCTCTGGACAACCCGTTCCATCTTCACTGCATGTTCCTCCCCCTTATGTTTAAATGGAATTTCTTGTTTTACAATTTGTGCCCACTGACTCTTGTTCCTTCACTAGATAAAACCGAGAAGAGCCTGACTCCCTCTTCTTTAAACGCACCAGGTATTCACACTGATAATTTCCCTCTGATAAGCAACATTCATGACCTCCCTTGTCCACCAAGTCTCATTGTCAACTATTTAAACTGCCAACTGACTTTTATTTTACAAGCTAAAACTAAGCCTTATGTAGGAAAAGAAAGCTAAGTTACATAAAATGCTATTGCATATTATTGGGCTATTGTTCACAAGGCAGAGCAGTGTTTGAATTATAGGTGAAGGGACAAAGAACAATCTCTTCAGAAATGCCAGTCTGCTCAAAGACAATGTTCAGGCAGGGCAAGAAGGCATGATGAGAAAACTTAACCAAAAAATTTTTTTTCCCCAGTAAATTTCTGTTTGTTAACAGAAAAAACCCCACTATTTTGAAGACATCATTAAATGTGAAGGCATAACAAATAAGAGCCAGAGAAGTTTCCCTGAATGACATTGTACTTGTACACAGAAGTGTATTTGCTGAAATAAATGTTATTAATTTATTGGGGGTTTTTTGCAGAGTACTTCCTCTCTCCAAAGATGTAGCAGGTTTACGTTAGTACCAGTCAAAAAGGTAGCCTGAGAGGCTTTGATTTTCAGGGCCTGCAGCTCTGAGGCAACAAAACTGAGGTGCTGCGTTCAGGAGGCATCCCCACAGCGGCTCCCCAGCCAGAAGCCAGAACCCTTTGGATGTAAGAATTGCAGCACTGGATCAGACTAAACTCCATAAGTGGTATAAAAGATGGCCATGCATACAGGTGTCTAGAACAGAGCCCTGTTTAGTCTGCTAGCATGAGGTCTATTAATCTGGAATTCACATTCCAATCAAGAAGCTCGGTAGTCAATCTCTAATACTTCTTTGAATGTATTTACATATCGTTAACCTTCAAGCATATGGCGTTGAGTTGAAATGCTTTGTTGCTCTGCTTATGAAAAAGCATGTCTTTTTATTCCTGTATTTGATAATTAAGTACCTCCCAGTTCCACGCTGTCAACAATGAAGAATCACTCCATAATTTTATTCAGTTAATTTATGATCTTACAGATGCCCACCCAAGCCCTCCTTGCTCTTCCCCCCCTTTAAGTCAGGACCTGTTCAGCCTCTCTCGACGATTCCTTGTTCTCGAACCGTTTCCCTCACGATCCCCTGTGTTTGCTTTACCGCCCTGACAGAGCTGCCAGCACTGTCCGGAGCGACCTCCAACTGCTAAATTACTTATATCGCTTTTTTTCCCAAACGCGGATGACTTCGCATTGATCAGGACTGCATTTATCGGTCAGTTTATTGGGAGATTCCCCTCACGCTTCCAGTGAAGCTTCACGCAGTCCCCGACTCCAACCGCCGCCAGTGAAATCCCCTCAGGCCCCGGCCCGAGCCCGCCCAACCCTCTTTCCATCTCGCTCCTGGAGACGCCAGCTCCGCGGGGGAGGCCTCTCCTTACAGCGGGACCGATCTTCTCCTCCTCCCGCCCTTGCTCTCCCCTCACCGATCGTTACGCTGCAGGATCCGCCCCAGCGACAGGCAACGGCCGTCGCCTCAGGCGCTCCCGCGCTTCCCTGGCCCGGCCTCTCCCCGCCGGGACCCGTCCTCGGCCGCTCTCACCTACTGCTACGGACAAGGGCACTCACTCCCGCCACCGGCGGGGCACGCCCCGCTCCTCTCCGCCACTGCCCCGCGGCGCCCCGCTCCTCTCCGCCGCCGCCCGCCAGGCCCCGCCGCTGTTCAAATCTACCCGCC